TTCTTTTTGCTTATGTGGTGCTGAGGAATTGAACCCAGGGCCTCAGGCATGCAAGGCAAGCACTCTACCACTGAGCCACCTTCCCAGCCCAAACTATGAAGATTTTCTATCCAGTACCACATTTAAGAAAAACCCTGACAAGGTAGGTCTATTTTTCCTTTCAAAGTGGTGAAATGCAAATAATATATTTGCATTTGGAGCAGTGCACTCATAATGAGCAGTAGCTCATAATCCTAGCTACTCAAAAGGCTGAGATCTGAGGATTGCAGTTCAAAGCCAGCCACGGCAAAAAGGTCCATGGATTCTTGTATCAAATTAAGCACCAAAAAAGCCAGAAGTGGAGCTGTGTGGCTCAGTGGTAGAGTGCAAGCCTTGAGCAAAAGAAGCTCAGGAACAGCTAAGCACCGGTGGCTTACACCTATAATCCTAGCTCCTCAGGAGGCTGAGATCTGAGGATTGAGGTTCAAAGCCAGCCTGAGCAGGAAAGACTGTGAGATTCTTATCTCCAAAAACCACACAAAATCGGAAGTGGCACTGTGGCTCAAGTGGTAGAATGTTAACCTTGAGCTGAAGAGCTGAGGGACAGCGCCCAGGCGGAGTTTAAGTCCCACCACGACACCACACACACACACACACACACACACACACACACGCTTAACGAAGTTAAAGGACTGAGGGTTTAGCACGCACACACACACACACACACACACACACACACACACACGCTTAACGAAGTTAAAGGACTGAGGGTTTAGCACACACACACACACACACACACACGTTTAACGAAGTTAAAGGACTGAGGGTTTAGCAGAAGAGCATAGGGTTAATATACTCAAAATCCTGGGCACCAAGGAAAAAAAGTTAATATAGGAGAATTTCTGTATTTTCTGCATAACTTTTAACTTAACTTTAGCTCAGGGCAATTAGTTTCTAACCAAGCAAAACCACAGTACAGTGAGAGATCCTAGGATTCCCTGGGGCAGAAAAAATGACAGTAGTAATGTGAACCTGTTCCAGGTCACTGCAAGAGAATGAATTTGATATCTCTTCCCCCAGAAAGTAAATGTGTAATAGCAGTATCCAAGTCAAATATTAAGTCCCTCAGTTATGATAAATGCTGGATTGTGGTGATAAATATGCAACTCTGTAGTTTAATAACTTATTTGATCATGGACTTAAAATTTTAAACAAGTCAGGCACAACCGTCTGAAAAAGTATGAAGAGTTAAAAGTGATAGAAATTATTTTCAGAATGACTATTACAAGTTCCAAAGAAACTGATTTCACTACATAATTAGGCTGTGTGTAGTGGGCTCTCCCCTTTCTTGCATGAGGCTGTGTTTTAATGTGGAGATGAAAAACTATTCTCAGATCAAGGAAGAATCACTCTACTAAAGCAATCATTTTAATCAAAAAATCTGCTGGTACAATCATGATTTAGAAAGGCTCAATCCAAACTTAAATGTCCAAAATAATTCCAGTATGGCAAAACACCAATGCTTCAAATGGGAGGTGGAAAGTTTGAAATCCAGTAACAGAACTAGTATTATCAAATTATAGCCTTTAGTTGAAAGCACATAGTAACTGTTTTGTAGTTCTTCCAGGATGACAGGATGTTGCCTCAGCACAGCACTTACTGCCAGTGGTGTTCCCTAAAACCACTTCTGTCTGGATCATCTCCTACATAGCTGTGGATTCTGCACTCTACAGCACAAAGGCAAACTGCACATAAAGGTAATACTTAGCAGTAATACAACGCAGTAGAGCACCTGCCTTGTAAGCACACAGCCCTGAGTCCAAACTGCAGCATCACCACCACCACCACCAAAAAAAAGAAAAAAAAAATAGACAATACTAGGGCTGGGAATGTCGCCTAGTGGTAGAGTGCTTGCCTAGCATACATGAAGCCCTGGGTTCAGAAAACAGGCTGGGTGCCAGTGGATTATGCCTGTAAACCTGTAAACCTAGCTACTCAGGAGGCTGAGATCTGAGGATCATGGTTCAAAGCCAGCCTGGGCAGGAAAGTCTGTGAGACTCTCCAAAAACCAATAAAAAAATGGAAGTGATCCTGTGGCTCAAGTGCTAGCCTTGAGCTGAGGGACAGCACTCAGGCCCAGAGTTCAAGCCCCAGGACTGGAAAGAAAAAAAGGAAACAAAACAAAACAGAAAAAGCCGGAAGTGATGCTGTGGCTCAAGTGGTAGAGTACTAGCTTTGAGCAAATAAAGCTCAGGGACAGTGCCCAGGCCCTGAGTTCAAGCCCTAGGACTTGCCAAAAAAAAAAGAGACAATACTTAATTTACTATTAAGTTTTAGTCTTTGTATCTCATATATGCTAGCTAACCCAAAATATAACAAGAATCAGAAAGCCGGTAAATATGGAGAAAAATGTTTTGCAAAACTCTTAACATTTCTTCACGAGTATGATCACTCTTCTTTATTCTTTTTTTGGTCGGTCGTGAGGCTTGAACTCTGGGCCTGGGCGCTGTCCCTCAGCTCTTCAGCTCAAGGCGAGTGCTCTACCACTTGAGCTACAGCGCCACTTCCAGTTTTCTAGTGGTTTATTGGAGATAGGAGACTCATGGTCTCTCCTTCCCGGGCTGGCTTTGAACCGTGATCCTCAGATCTCAGCCTCTTGAGTAGCTAGGATTACAGGCGTGAGCCATCAGCGCCGGCTCTTCTTTATTCTTGAATGGGGTAAAACATCCCTAACCAAAAAAACATAACTAAAAGAGATGGGGGGGGGGGTGGCTCAAATGGTAGAATGCCTGCCTAACAAACACAAGGCCTGGAGTTCAAACCTCAGTACTGCCAAAACAGAGGTGTCTAAAGCACGGGTAGTACTGCATTCTTAATCTAGGAGAGTGGTGGGTATACAGGTGTTAATTATAATTCTTAAATCATGTATACATAACCTTTATAAGTTTTACACATATTTTTATGAAAGGTTGGAATGCGAACTTTTTAAATAGATAATGTAAAACAAGTACAGAATCTTCCCCTCAAAAGGAATTATAAATGAAGGGAAGAAGGTTGAACAAATGCAGTCATGGTATTCAATATACACTATGTAAAAAAGAAAAAAACGAGCTACGCAACTTGTGGGCAGCGAAAGGTGGGAGAAACTGGAGGAAAGCAAAAGAAGGAGTGACGCTGTCCAAGAACTGTACTCACCACCTGACTCACGGAATTTTAACCCCTTGGTACAGCTACTTAAATAATGCCAAAATTACATTCTTTAAAAAAACAAAAGGAATTAGGCTGGGAAGGTGGCTCAGTGGTAGAGTGCTTGCCTAGCATGCATGAAGCCCTGGGTTCGATTCCTCAGCACCACATACATAGAAAAAGCCGGAAGTGGCGCTGTGGCTCAAGTGGTAGAGCACTAACCTTGAACACACACACACACACAAAAAGGCTCAGGAACAAAGCCCAAGCCCTGAGTTCAAGCCCCAGGACCGGCCAAAAAAGAATAAGGAATTACAGACAGAATGAACAAAGCCATGACCACCAATACGGATTTGGGGTGGGGGGGGATAGGAATGTGTTTGTCCCCATTCTCCACTAGTAAAAAAAAAAAAGAAAGAAAATTACTTTCCTCAAGAGCACCAAAGACTCTATGGAAACCCACTGGATGCTTTTCACCACACTGGGCTGAGGGGACGTCAGAATTCATCATCTTCCCCTCAGGCCTGGAGTCCTCCAAGT